AGCATGTCCTCTCCTTTGTCGTCCATTCTGCCTGGCTCTGGGAGCACAATTTGGGGAATGTTTAATCTGCATTTTGCATATCTTTCGATCCTTACATTTTCATTGTCCGATCTTTCATACATTAGATTCCCTAGGCATTTTAAATTTTTGGTAGTCGTCAAGGAAATTTGGCAGCAATTGGTTTATCATTTTTAATGCAGGGCACTAATCCCAATTCACATGCGTATCTAGGGAACTTTGTAGTTCTTCTGTCAAGACGAATTGAACCATCTCTCTTGTGTTTCTTGTCTTGCTAACAGATAGAAAATTTATTTAAAAAGTGGGAGGTTCATTTCTTGATAAGACCGAATTCAACTAGTTGGGGGTAGGCTACATTATATTTGGAATCATGGAGAGTTTTCTTTGTTTCTGCATTTCAATTTCCTATTTAAGGGAAATATCCAGTGGTGTTCTATTGATCTTGAATCTATCTGAAATGGCACATTGTTACTGTTTCCTTTGAGTTCATATTTCTGGACACTAAATATATAAATGCTCCTATAAAGACTGCCTGCTTTTATGAGTTGGATTCGAGACAGCAGTGTCCCTCGAGTTACACCTTATCTATTTTTGAACTCATTCACAACTATCGAAATCTCTGGCATCATATGGAGTTCTTCAACTTCAAATACTGGAAGAGAAGAATTTAGTTGATAAGTGTTACTGTTACGTCTGCTCTGTTTAGGAGACAATGCAACTGCATTGCTGATAAGCTATAAAAGCCTTTTTTTTCCCTGTTATCCATTAAGCTTGTTTTGTCAACCTCTATGCGTTGTTTTCACCAAGCATGACGGTGGCTGTAACTGTTAAAAGGCCTCAAATCGTATCACCAGGCCAATTCTATGCCTTCTACTACTGGTATGTAACTGCAACTTCCTTCCTGGATTAAGATAATATTATTATTGTGAAGAAAATCTTTAGTTGCATATGGTGATATCGGGATTGATGCACTCCAATTCTTCCTTCATAATACATATCACATCCTTAAAAATCCAAATTTGTCATCCTAGAGTAGTTGGGCCAATGCTATAGTAGTTAGGGGCGGCGGATACAAGGGGGGGCTTGGCTGGGCTATAGCCCCCCCCTCAAGGCCCAAAAAAAAATTTTTTTTAAAGGTTTTTTCTTTTGTTTTTTTTCTTAAAACAGTTTTACATGTGTAAAAAAAATTTTTTTCGCGTATTAGCCGGGTTTGAAATTTTGTAGTCCGGTCTTAGATCCAATCCTGGATCCGCTCCTGGTTAGGGCAATGGACGTTTTTCGACTTTTGGATGACTTAGTAATCTAAGGCCGAGATCAGAAGTAATGTTGAGAATTCGTTTGGTAGAAAACACATGATTGATGGTTCAATCACATCTCCTTCCTCTAAATGAAACGATGGGTCATTTGCATTTGATCATTTGACCGAATAAGGCAATGGTATTCATATTCAAGCAGGCTCTAAATGACCTTAGCATTAACTTGTTTATTTTTACGGTGTTCTTTAAAATATTCTCATTATTACTTCAATTTGATCAACTGGAACGGTTGAAAAGGATATTGTGATCAATTAAAGGTGGCAAGATTGAATCACATATAACATAAGCTGAATAAGGGATGACACCAGAAGGAACAACAGAGCCATCTAGAACGAGTACTACTAATGGTGTAAAACTGAATGGTCTGGCCATGCTTGGCTGGCTTGTACAGAATCATTGCACGGATTTCCCAAAGGTTCAGCGCTGCCGGTATTTCTGGCGGGCCAGTCTTAGCTTAGCTGTCTATAAAAAGACAAGGTACAACTGAACCGAGCCTCTGTTGTGCCCATGTAGGTTTTTTTTTCCGAAGTTAGTGATAACGATTTTCTTACGTATGCCTGGACACTCAGACACAGAATGGCCAGCTTGGACAAGTGGGTCGCAACCTGCATCGGGTCTGAACAGCCCGACCCGGCTTAATACCAATAAGGACAATCAAAGAAGTTCTATCTATCAATCTCATATATGAGCTGGCCCTGAGTCACTACATACCACCTGGAGCAAGGTTGTGATAAAATGACATGATCCCGAGGTCCCCTCATGGTCATTCTCAATACTCTCCTCGTTTTCCGTCTTTGATACCATTCCCTTCGCACTGACTTTGTAAGAATGCCGTCTTTGATACCATTCCATTCGCACTTACTTTGTAAGAATGCTTAGCTGATTCCTATGTAAGATTTTCATGGTTTTGATGTTGTTTTTCCAATTTGACTAAATTTAATTTTCTTACCCATTAACTAATTTCTACTTGCAATCAAATCAATCAATGCATCAATTTTGAATTTCTTACCCTGTTTTTATTACTCAATTTGGTGGAAGATTAAGCTCATGTTTGATCCAGATTAAAATCTGATTTTAATCCAAGTTAAAGTCAAATAATCAATATTAACATCATCTTTCATCGGTCCCACAACTTTTCAATCACACATTTCAAAATTTTCTATCACAATTTACTAAAAATTTAATTTTAATCCTCACCGAACACCCTCTAAATTTTTGCATGATTAGCTGTTCTACCATTTCTATGGGTAAATTTTTGCATGACTAGCTGTTCCACCATTTCTATGGGGTGGGGTGCAATTCAAGTTAACCATTTATTAGTTGTTCTATCTTTTATAGCCGTTCATAGCATGCATTGAGATCTCAACCACGAACCATCATTAGACTAGGCAAAAATTTCTCAACTTTGAATTCAGTGTTATTAGTTCACTTGAATTAGGGTCGTTTGAAACTTGCAAGCTCAAAGTTCCTAAGTGTAAATTAAATTGACTAGCTGTTCATGACAATTTGATCAATGCCCGTTTAGATTTGACTCAATCCAACATTGAAGTCACAAGTCTTGGTACCTTTTACAAATGTCGAATCACTATATTTTTTGTTAGTCTAACCCTTAGTCGAGGAATTGTTTTCATGAAATCTAATTTGCGTTGAGGGTTGACCTAGCCCGATTCACTTAACACTCGGGTGAATGGTCCGAGTCTGAATTTTAATGGAATAGTAATCAACGGTGGCTGTCAACTGTCAAGGTCTTTATTAATGTTACACAAAAAAAAAAGCTTTGTTTACCAAGTTGCATATAATGCCAAATAATACATTTGTTCCCCCAACACGACCAAGCTAGCTGTAAACCAAATATCTTATAAATAAAACAACATAAATCATCATTAAGAGTACGAAATTTGATTATTTTATACAATCCGTTGATATTTCTTTGTGTAGCCCCCACCCCCAACCCCTTTCTTCCTTTCCAGCTTGCTTGCTTTTAGTGGAAGTATGGATTCCATTAGGGCTCACGGGTTTCTATGTTGTCGCTTCCTTTGAAAAATGATTTAATTATACGATGTTATCATTCTATTCTTTTTTCTTATTTAGAGTTGAGACCAGCTATAAATAAATATAAGAAGATTCGTCAAATGCAACTCCCATTTGATAAGTTATAACAAGATTTTGTCTACTTTCAGTAAAAAATTTGTAAATTATAAACACCGGATCTTGCAGGATGTGTGAATCAAAAGTTGTGCATTATGCAAATGTTGTAGATTTTGACCATCTTTTTCCAATTAGCGTACACTTCTATTAAAGGAAAATACACGGATCTCGTCCTCGTCTATTTTCTTTTCTACGTGCTTTAGATTTGTATGCATGGTATATGGTATTTAAAGGAACTACATCGAAAGAAAGACAGATTCTTGCTTCGTTCAATGGCTTCTTTGCTCTTTTAAACCTACTTGTTCTTTAATGTAGTACTCAATCTTATAAATAAAATGCCTATTATATAGTGTTCGACCTTTCGAATGCATCATTCCTCACTTGATTTGACTTCGAGATTGCTATTCCAAATCTTAGTGAAACATTGAACTTTTTATCTCATGTATTCTTTTCGTGAAAATGAAGGTGGAGGGTTTCTTCAGGCAAGGAGTTGGTTCAACTATTCAACCAAATGAATATTAAAGCAAGTTTCTCACCTCTGCAAAATTGTACTCAATTTCATATGTGGCAATTCCGCCAAAATCTCTTTCTTAGTTGGGAAAAGAATAAATTTGATTTGGTTAGATAATGTGATTGGTAAAAAAGATTGATTTTTTTTAGAAAAGTATGACATGCTAATCAAATACTCAATATGATTCCTTTTGTTCGAGACACGAATTCTAGCCAACTAAAAAAGTGATCATTTGGGTTCCATTATTAATGAAGAATTGGCATATTACATATTAATAAATCAAAAAGAGATTCAACAACTAAAAGAAACATCGATTATTCGAGATCCCTCCTCCTTCAAATGAAAGTAACGGAGATAGAATCAAACTGACTACAAGTGTCTTTCGGGATTTTCTTGAAAATTCTATAATTAATTAATATTGTCTCAATTCATTCCATTTCATTAAATTACTCCTAATTGCAACTTAAGAATTGCTAGGCGACTCTCACACTATAAAGATGGGGAAACATAGAAAACTTCAGCACTGTGGGATTTTCAAAATACATTTTTTTTCCTTATATTTTCAAAGTAGAAAGAGCAATGATCACTAGTGTTTGGCTCAAATCCCACAGTGGGCGACAAAACCCTTGGGATGTGCTAAATGCACTGCCCACTGGATGTTGCACTTGCATGTCATCTTCCCCAAATTTAAAAACAAGCCAAAACATTGGGAATTAAAATCAAATTTAAATTTTAATAGAAATGGATGAAATATATGATTGAAATATTGTAGAACGCATAATGTGGTTGAAATGAAATATTGATTTTAATTTAGATTGAAATCTCGGACTACAAGTCTCAAATTTGATTTAAAAGTAAAACATATAAAACTTATAATAATGATATTCATTAACTAAACTAATTATACATTAATTAATTAAGCGAAAACCCAAGAAAACTAATCAACAAACAGTTCAAATTTTGAAACCGAAGGCAGACACATACCATACACGAAGTAAATGAAGCATTTACTGATCGAGTGCATTCGGGCCGGTGCAGTAATTCACCAAATGGTTCCAAACCCATTGAACCAAGAACCTTCGTCGGATCCCATTCATATTGTATGTGGCGCCATCCTCGCCGTTGAACATCTGCCCGGTATAGGATCCGCCACCACCGGTTCCATATATCCCCTCGCAAAGATCCGCAATCTCCACTGGAAAAACCGGGTCCTCGCCCGCATACCAGGCGTTCACCAACGGGTTCGTGGATACCTCTGCAATTTCATGTGCAATCACGCTTATCATCCCATCCACTCCTACGTCGCTGTTTGGTGATTTCACCGCCTTCAGCCCAGGAATATACGCCGGCGCAGCGAAGGGGTACGCGCAAACGCCGGGGCATAGTTTTGCCGAGTTACCCACCCAGGCGTACGGTAGAGTGTACCCAACAATGGAGGGGAAGGTAAAGTAATGGAACCCACAAACGTTGTTACAGAAATCTTGTACGTAAACTTCCTCTGAGGTTAACAAAAGGTACACCCCGCTCTTGGGGTTGATCGGAAGTGGGCGGGTGGTGGAGGTCACGGCAGATTTTATCACCGATTGGACCGAAAGCCGGGTTAATGATTTCCCATGGGAGTAAAGCCTATCGTTCTTCTCTGCACCAATGTGGACATGCCTTGAAATGTTGGCGCCTGTCTGATCAGTGTATAACTGGACGGTTTTCCACCATCCGGCCACCGACGGCGGCTTAGAGTCCACCGCGGAGATTGAGCTGAGGAATTCTCGGATAATACGTTTCTGGGAGTTTTTCCACGAGCCATACCAAATCGGATAAATAGTGATATTGTTGGTAAGTATAGGCCCCATGTGGTACTTCAACTGAATAAGGTCCGATGAGCCCTCATATTTTTTTGACCCACCAAAGATGGATTCCGTTTTGTTGAGGGTTTGATTAGGCCATGGGCGCCATGCAAATACGGGACCAGTAAAGAAGAAGAAGAAAAGGAGTGGTACGAGGATGAGGGCCGCCGGAATGGTTGGTGGCTGGGGCATGATAGTAGAAGTAGATGAGTGAGAAGTGACTAGTGAGAGAAAATTGTGAATGTGGATTAATATAGAGTGAGAAGGGAACTTAGAGCTTGACGTGAAGTTGGGGAGTGGGGTGGGAGGTGGTGCTAATGGGGAACAGATGGACATTAATAGGTGTAGGTGGAGAGGTGGGGCCTACTTAGGGGAATCAAGGGTCTGGATTTGATCATACGCCGTCGTATGATTTGATTTGACTACATATGATGATGGTCCTCAATTTAACTTTTCCATTTTGTTTTTTCTCGAGGTTTGAGCGGGAAAATCGGTGGAAAGGACATTTTGGGGATTTCAGGAAGTTTTTTTTTTACTTTATTTATCCCCTTGAAAAAGGCTAGAATTAAGCCCAATGTCTTGTTAAGTCTTTACTCTTAGGGCATCTTCAATGGAGACACCAAAATTTGGTGCAAAAGTAATCCAATATGGCATCAAATTTTGCATCATTTTGGTGTTTTGGTGCAACACTATACTCACTTTGCACCAAAACACCAAAATGATGCAAAGTTCAATTTGTCCTTTTTTTTTTCATTTTGTCAAAAGAATTATTTGAGTGTATTTGTGTCATTTGTATTATATAATTTTATTATTATTATTATTATTATTATTATTATTATTATTTGCATTTAAAATATATTTAAAATGTTGAAAATAATAATTACTGAATTAATTACTAAATTTTATGTATTTCTAAAATAAAAAAATAAATAATATTTCGAATAAATAAATTACTAAGAATAAAAAAACATGAAAATGATTAAACAATGTTCATTTGGTGTAATGATTGGAGATGAATTTTAATTTGATGCAAAATTTGGTGCAGCACTGGAGATGGCCTTACAACTTGATCTCTAAACGATATTAGAGTACCATCTGATTTTAGATGATTACTACAAACTAAATTAAGGGAGAACTTTTTTTGCCGTTGTCCCAAACTATATCACCCATGAAACTTAGAATTTAACCTATTTGATCTGGTGTGCATGTTCGGGGACTTCATTATGATTTTAGCCCACACCACTTCTCGCAAATGGAATAGGGTAATTTTTTATTATTATTATTCAAACCACCATGGTGGAGTATTTATTAAGAGAAAAAAAAAATTACAAACAAGAGAGGAGGATGAAATCAAAACCTCCAAAAATGAAGAATAAGTATAATACACACCTGATCGAATTCAATTTGGATTCAAAACAAGCCTAATGCAAATCAATTAGAAGTAAACACAAGACGATAAAAAGATGGCTTTAAGCCTTAAAGTCGAATGGACTATTAAACATAAGGGTCGTGCTACGTGTACATAATTTTTTACCTAATCTTTTACACCCCACTCATATCAGAAAGTGGGGACCACGAGGTCGGCATTATTATATTCATGTGGGGTCGGATTTTTGTGAGGGGGGTAGCACATTCGGTAGCCA